CTGCAAAGCGAAAGCTCGGGGATAAACCCCGAGGTTACCACCCAATGCAAGTAGTCCTCGAGGTAATTCAATATAAACGTCGGGAAAGTTTTACCGTCAAGGTGTTGAACTATTCGCTGTTGTCCTCGGCGTTATGACTTGCTTAAAAATCCAATTGTTTTGTCTCAATCGTCATGATTATTTAGTCGTCGGGATATGAATCTTCTTAGTCGTCGAGATAATTAGTTGTCTTTGTCGTTGAGATAATTAATCCTTCTCGATCGTCGAGATATTGGTTAATGTTCGACGCATATGAAATAAAAACACGACGATAAGCTCGGTGGAAAGGAAAAAACTATTTCCATTAAGATCGGGCATTTTACAATTACAAAAAAAAAAAATACAGAATAAGCTCGGTAAATTCAGGCGTCGGTATCCTGACTGCCTTGGCCTTCCTCGACGTCATCACCCTCGATGTCGACGTCTTCATCCCCAGCGTTCTCTTCAGACTCTGAAAGATGAAGGTCATCAGCCACCTCGGGGATTGACTTCAGATCCTCAGGGCGAGCATCTGGCCTCAGGCGCATGAAAGCTCGAGCTTCCTTCAGGGCATGAAAGTAAGAGCCCATAGCATAGTCGCCATTTAACTCGTTGAAGGCATCAGACTTCTTGAAGTCCTCGATCGCTTCCTCCCGAGCACTGGCCAGCTTCTCATCAAAATCTTTTTTAAGTTGATCGACCTCGAGCTTGAAGTGCTCAGCCTCAGCCTTCGCAGTGCCTGCCTCACCCTGAGCACTGCGTAGATCATTTTGCATACGCTCACGCTCCCTCAATAGCTGAGCTAGCTCTTCCTCCAGGTCGGCGATCCTCAGATCCCGAGCAGATACAGCACCCTCGAGGTCGGCCATTTTTGAAGACTCGTCCTTTTCCTTCAAGGAAAGACCTCGAGCTATTCCCAATGTCTGAAAATTGGTGCATGTTACTTAACCTCGAGACGAAAAGATAACAAAAATAATATAAAAACAGTCGACGATCTTACCTTCAAGGCCATAGCCTCGAGCTCCCTCAAGCCATTGCTTAAGTCGACATCTGCCCGGTATTTGTCGACAATGCTGAGCACTGAGTGGCACCGAGAACATCCCTCGGGATTCGCCGGCCCCGGTGGCAGGCACCCATCCTCGAGGTCGACCACGTCAACAGGAGCCCGAGGAAGAGACTCCCGAGGAGTCCCCTGAAGATCCTGCTGCTGAGATCCCGTCCTCCCTATTCCCGGAGACGGT